TGCCGGATTAGACCTCTCCCGACAAAATTTATTCGAAAGAGGTTTCTTTTAAAAAGAAATAATATACTTAGTATCTTTAAGTCAATAGATTTTTTTTTTAAAACTTTCTTTTTATTAATTAAATGATATCTTAGCATTATTTAATTACTTTCATTAGTAATTATATTTTAATTATTATTTATTTAGTGAATAATTAGTATTAATGATTTTAATTAAGTTTACAAATTATATTACTTAATAAATATTATTTATTTATTTTTTAATTTTTTTTCTTTGTTAGAATATTAATTATTAATTATTCACTAGGTAAATAATAATTAAAACATAACGACTAATTAAAGTAATTAAAGTAGTTAAAAGTGGTCCCAAATACTGAATTTTGGTACCTCGAATGCATTCCATGTTTGGTGATGTCAAATTGATGAGTGAAAAAGAGAGCACAAAAAATGAAAACGAAAATTGAAAACTAAACACTTTCAAATTGTTTTAAAAAATAAGGGTAATTTTGATAACTTGATTTCACTTTTTTGAAAACTAAACACTTTCAAATTCTTTTCCTTTTCCATTTGGTGTTGGGGAGTTTATTTAGTTACTTATCCGTTTATATAGTCCTACATACCCATTTATTTAGTCGTATTAAAATTGATATTTATTTAATATTTTATCTCTTTTAAGGTTAACACATCTTTATACTTATTTTATTTAGAGTGTATAGCCGCCGTTTGAAAAATTCTATTTAGATAGTTAAAATACAGTTGATATTATATTTACAGCGTATAGCTGCGCGGCTATACGTTCGAAATTTCTATTTACAAGGTATAGCCGGGCAGCGATACGTTTGAAATTTCTATTTATCAAGTATTGCCGCATGACTATACTATTGAAATATTTTATTTGTAGAGTATAGCCCTGCGGCTATACAGTTGAAATATTCTATCCTTTAAAGATAATTCCACATTGCACCAACAATAAAAATATGAATTTATATTTTCCGGATTAGACCTCTCCCGACAAAATTTCTTCGGAAGAGGTTTCTTTTAAAAAGAAATAATATACTTAGTATCATTAAGTCAATGGATTTTTTTATAAAACTTTCTTTTTATTAATTAAATCATATCTTAGCCTTATTTAATTACTTTCATTAGTAATTATATTTTAATTATTATTTATTTAGTGAATAATTAGTATTAATTATTTTAATTAAGTTTACAAATTATATTACTTAATAAATAGTATTTATTTATTTATTAATCTTTTTTCTTTGTTAAAATATTTAAATACTAATTATTCACTAGGTAAATAATAATTAAAACATAACGACTAATTAAAGTAATTAAAGTAGTTAAAGATGGTCCCAAATACTAAGTTTTGGTACCTCGAATGCATTCCATGTTTGGTGATGTCAAATTGATGAGTGAAAAAGAGCGCACAAAAAATGAAAACGAAAATTGAAAACTAAAAACACTTTCAAATTGTTTTAAAAAGTAAGGGTAATTTTGATAACTTGATTTCACTTTTTTGAAAACGGAAAACGAAATATGTTACCAAACATCTTTTCCTTTTTCAAAAGTATCAGTTTCAAAAATAGTGAAAATGAAAACTGAGAATGAAATGGTTATCAAACAAACCTTAAGATTGTCTTTATATATATATATATATATATATATATATATATATACAGTCCCCTTCTATTGAGGGATCCCTCAAATAATTTTATTTGAGGGACGCCCTTTAGGGTACCTTACAATTTTTTTTCCAATGATCAAAACCATCTATTTTTTAGGTCTTCATTCATAGATCATCCTTACAAAAAATTAGACAAATCGGAAACCGTTTCGACATCCAATTGTGTCTTACAAAATCAATGAACACGGTGCTTCAAGAAAGTATTAAAATTTCAATAACTCAATTGAGTGGTCAAATGATATCGGATTCAAGTGATTTTTTGTAGAGATGATCTTTAAATGTGTATCTACAAAATAGACGGTTTGGATTAGTGAAATACAATCCGGAGTGGGCCCTACAAGGGGTGTCCCTCAAATAAGCTTATTTGAGGGATCCCTCAATGGAAGCTCTCTGTATATATATATATATATATATATATATTTTTTTTTTTCCATTTGGTGTTGGGGAGTTTATTTAGTTACTTATCCGTTTATATAGTCCTACATATCCATTTATTTAGTCCCATTAAAATTGATATTTATTTAATATTTTATCTCTTTTAAGGTTAACACATCTTTATACTTATTTATAAATACCTCCATTTGAAATAAACAAATTTTAGTATTAGACGTAAATTCAATTTGACATAACAATTCCCATAAATAGCATGTCCACCACTCATTCTTCGACTATAACCTTGAAGTTCGCTTATTGCAACGTGAAGGTACTTCTTGCAATCTTCATGTGACAAGTCTCTATTACACTCTACCAAACTATAAAGATCAATCCTGTTTTTCCTTTTATTCCTCTTAGTCACCTGAATGCTTCCAGTAGCATACAATTGTCCGGAAACAATTTCAGAAGTTAATCGATTTAACAAATGTCTAGTGCCATTGGAAATAACTTGGAATTAGGAACGGATTGAGGATTTTTCCCATACACCCCGTTATCCTTACCAGAGAATTTTGTGTATGAGTATTTTAGGATGCAACCAACCATCCATATTATAGCTCCTCGATTAAGACGACAACGCTCGCGAAGATTTTGGCTTGCTGTATTGAGACACCTTTTGCATGATGCATAGCGCTTGTGATTCAGACTAAAGTCCCAACATTGCGCTAGCCCATATATAGAACTATTTTTTGTTGTTATAGATTTAGATTTGTCACCAACGATTTCACTTTGATATCCAGAATCTGGAATTTCTTCTGATACTCTTTGTGTCGATAATGTAATTAAGTTTTTCTCAAAATTCCCATTGGGTAGAAATTCTACCTTATTGAAACAGCTATGCCCCAAAACAAGAGGTCCGATACATGAGGTATTTTTTAGGAAAATAAAGAAAGATGAAAGACTCAATAGAATCGCTGGGTTTGAGTAAAGACTCAACAAGAGGTCCGATACATGAGGTCTTCAATAGGTTGAACTAAAGTACAATTTATGTTTTAGACAAGCATATATATAATATAATTAGAAGCTAGTGTTAATTTTTTCTCGTTGACTATAACATATTAGTTGTATATTAATTAAAGATTAATTTGGCCAATTTGTTTCATGAAAGGGCTGCATCATATATATATATATATATATGTATGTATAAGATATCAAATTTAAATTATTTTTGTTCTTAAAAAAGCTATATGGTCTTTTGTATAGTTAATGGGACAATGTATTGTCATTGTTCCTTTAAAAAGAAAGTATATAATTTCGGTTATAATAGTAAGAAATACACATTTCCTAAAAAGTATATCATCAGTTTACGTGGTGATACTTTACCATTCTATAATTTCTCCACGTCTTGTGCAACGTAAATTAAGATTAGGGAGTTTCACTAAAACACCTAAAATGGGGGCTGAAATTATAAAAAAACTCAACACCTAAAACACTTTATAAACACACCCAAAACCCATCATTACACACACTCAAAACCCATTTATAAACACACCCAAAAAATATACAATTGTTGATTTTGGGTGTGTTTCTATGTTTAAATAGTGCTTGGGTTTTTTTTATAAATACATGTATAGGATTGGGTTTATTTATAAATTTGTATTAAGATTACCACTTATATATGGTGAAGTGCAAGTTCCTATCAATTGAATTCACCAACAGATTCAAACGAGTTAAGTTTTGTTGAAGAACTATACGACTAAAAAGTGCATTGAATACAAGTAAACTGAAATTCACAAACAAATCCAAAGAAATATACAGCACTCGAAAGTTGCTCTAATTTTAAAAAGTGCATATAAAAGCTCCCAACGTTAGTGCATATAAATCTTCAGCATGGACTCTACTTGTACAAGTCTATTGGAATTATCAAAGCCACATACCATACACCTCACTTAATATTCCTAAGAACAATGATCACTGAATCCCCATGGAGAAACATCTTGCTGATGATAATCTATCCTCCCTTGTTAACGGGTTGAGCCTTTTTTTCTTGCCTTTTCCAGTCTTTGGCACCTGCACTGCATACACACACAAACACACACACACACACACACACAAAAAGGAAAAAAGAAAAAAGAAAAAAAAAGATCACACAAATATCATGAGAAAAAAGAACTTTGATGATTGATGAAGATCTACCAACCAACATAAAAGAAGACAGAACTGAATAGTGGAACAAAACACAAGAGAGAAAAATAAAAGGGGTTTCAGAATGAGGAGTAATCGGGGGCCCATCTCTTTTGTTTTTTTTTCTTTCAACATATAAATGCAATTTTCCTTCTCAAACCCTAACTCTAACAAGAGCCGTCTTCCAGCCCCTCTCTCTCGCTCAGACTTCTTCAATCCTCATCTCTCTGTCTCTCGCTCATAGCACCATCGTGATCTCTTCCCTGACCTTGGAGATCCAAAATGGCGTTTTTTTTTCTAGGCACAGCGCCCGCCTAGCCCGCACGCCTAGACCGCCTAGCGCCCGCCTAGACCGCCTAGAGCCCGCCTAGCGACCGCCTAGACCTCCTAGCGAGCCTAGCCCCAGCCTAGCCCGCCTAGCCCCCGCCTAGAACATAGAGATCTTGGCCACCATCTACATATACCCTCATGTCGCCCGCCTAGACTACCTAGAGGCCGCCTAGACCGCCTAGCGACAGCCTAGACCGCCTAGACCGCCTAGTGAGCCTAGCCCCAGCCTAGCCCGCCTAGAACATAGAGATCTTGGCCACCATGTGCACATACCCTCATGTCCATTAGCTCCCCAAATTACATGACGCAACCTCTCCCTCCGTTTGAAATCTCCATGTTATAATAAGCAGTGCAAGAACAGTTCTCCAAACACTTCTCTTTACATGCCTCAAGGCTCATGTCCCCATCCACAAATGCACCCCCCACTCTCAGGCAATTTCACTCCTCAACCTCAAGAACTTGTCTTTCGTGCATTTCAGTTCTCGTTTTCTCACACACCCATCAAACCCATTTCCCAAATTCCAAGCCTCCAAATTCTTAGGCTGAAACCCACTCACACATTTACACACAGGTGAAGCATTTGTGTCACAAATACCAAATGGGACCACACTCTCCATAGCTGTCACATTGGTCCTTTTGGGGATACTGAAATATATTTCACATCTTTGTGCTCTCAGCCCATGTAATCTGTTGAACGTCCCCATTTGGACTCACTGTCAAGCCTGAATATTAGACCTCATCTTGTTTCGTAACGAAGTTGAAATCGACACCATGCTTCGAAGCACACATTTCCGGGGCACCACTAAATATCATCCCATTCCAGGGGCCGGTTCGAAAGTTTTTAACATGTTTGTCCCGAAGGAAAATCTCCGGGAAGCCATGGTGATCTAGTTTGATAGAAAAGCCCCCTGTTGACGGGTCCTCTGTGCTTTTCCACGAGGTCAAGTACCTGTTTAAACCTGTGCTCAACTTCCATCCAAGCTTCATATCCGGAAGCAGAATGTGTGTGGGATAATCAAAGCTCTGCCAGAAAAATGTTTGGCTGTCTTCGGTTCCTTCTTTGATCACAAGATTGCCTATATCCAAAAGCAGGACATTTGGTCTCAAAACTTGGGTGTGATTGGAGGACCAAGTGACATTTCCAGATGGATCAAGAAGGACAATGTTTCCATGTTCACTAGTCATCAAAAGAGCTCCTGATGAATTTGAAAGTGGGGTGTCTCTGTTGGCCACCCAAACAACTGTTCTGTTTTGGACATTTTTGGTCATGTTTCCTTCGACAATTAATTAATATATTATATATGTATGCCTTGCCTTCCTCACTTATTTTTGCTGTGAACAACCAATTAACAGATATACAAGTGAAGTGAATACATCATGTCTGTACTCTGTACATGTATTAAATGAAAGAAGTTGGCCAAAAAGCAAAAGCAAAGAAACTAACTTTATATATATAAATATAAAATTGGGTATATGGCACCAGGTGATGTACTGTTGCTTGTTTACTTTTCAATTTTATATATGTTGTCCTTCATTATGAACAAGGTGACCTTATGATTTTCTTTTAATCATTTCAACCAGAGATGTGTATAGTTTTGGTATTGTACTAATGGAGACGTTCACAAGAAGGAAGCCAACTGATGAAATGTTTGTTGGGGAGATGAATTTAAAGCAATGGATTGCGAATTCATTACTTCCAGATGCTGCAATTGTTGAAGTTGTTGATGCCGATTTACTTGGGACAGAGGAAGATGGTGATTTTGTGAGCAAGAGGGATTGCTTATCATCCATTATGAGATTAGCTCTAGCTTGTTGTGCATAATTGCCGAAAGAGAGGATTAACATGCAAGAAGCTCTAGTCACACTCAATAATAAAGATTAAGTTTTTGAAGGACATAAGGTCAAGCAAACATTCTGCATAAAGTCAACTCTCTGGCTAGAAGACATAATTTTTTTATACTTTAATATACATATTAGTTGAATTAAGAATTATTGGTCTCTAGTCATTCAAAATATATTAATTATTGAGAATAACATGTTTTTCTTACTCAGAGGAATTTGTGATTCAAGACTGGGGCATGGATTATTTGACTTGGACAATACGAACTGTACTTGTGAGGGTTTGCACTCAACATTAATCCAATCTCCTTCCTTTGTTCTAACCTCCAAGCCAGCGACATCATGCTGAACAACAATGGTGGTGAAGTTCATGTCTGTGTGGCTCGGAAACCTTACGATGGGCATCGTTGTCCTCTAGTACTGTATATTTGATGAATCTAAGAAGGTGATCACCATTGGAACTACCAACCGGCCACTTTGTTATATCTTAATATAATTTATCTATATTTTTCTTCAATATTATGTGAGAATTTTGTGTATAATACGTAAATTTTGTAAAAAAATGTGTATTAAACATGAAAAATATGTATTTACATGTACAATACAAGTATTGTACGTTTGCTTTTTTAAAAACGTGAATTTTACTGAGTCTTTAAGACATGTACAGAACACAGATGTATTATTCAAAAATACATACGTATGTGTGTAATATAATATTAAACGTGAAAGTGCTAAATTCTTTATACGGGTAATAACTCTGTAAAAGTAAAAAAATCAAAAAGAGACAATGGATACTCGGGTAATGGCCTAATAGTAATGGATAACGGTCTAAACTACTCATATCGATAAACGAAAATCACGGGAAAAATAAATAAAGAAAAAGGGTATTTAAAGCGTATAGCCGTGCGGCTATTCTATATATTAAAAAATTTAAACCAAAAAGCCCAGTAAAGCCGTGCGGCTATACGATTATTTTAAAAACATTTCAAAAACCGAGTATATCCGAGCAGCTGTACTGTTTATATACATATATATATATATATATATAAAAGGATCAGCCTATCTAATAGCACCACGTGTCAAAACGGTATAGCCGACTGGCTATACCCTTTTTAATAATAAACATTAAAAACCTAGTATAGCCGGTCGGCTATACTATTTAAAAAAAATAAAAATAAAACCGAGTATAGCCGCGCGGCTGTACTATGTACAGAAAACCAAAAAAAGTCAAAACAAGTATAGCCGACCGGCTATACAGTTTTTTGGAAAAAAAAACCAGAGCATAGCCGAACGGCTTTACTGTTTAAAAAAAGAAAAAAAGAAAAAGCATAGTATAGCCGATCGGCTATACTATGTAAATATATTATATTTAAAAGGTATCGAATGGTGCGCTCTATGGTGAAGCCCGACTCCACGTTCCACCATGCCAAAATAGTACACTTCAACCAAATTCAAGGAAAGCCCAGAACACCCAACTTGAAATATATTATTCCAGGGATCATATCAACAATACTCCCGGTGGCCTCTGTATCAATGTTCATACCGCGCAAGAAAAGGAAAGTGGAAGTTGCAACAAAGACTGCCTCATTACCTCGACTTCTTTGGAGAAGAGTTTCACACCTTGAACTTCTGAGGGAGACGAATGGATTTGATGAAAGCAACTTACTTGGCACTGGTGGTTTTGGCTCAGTATATAAAGGTACAATTTCATATGGGATAGATGTTGCTGTAAAGGTTTTCAATTTACAGCTTGAAGGGGCTTTCAAGAGTTTTGATAATGAATGTGAAGTGCTGAGCAATATTCGTCATCGAAATCTTATCAAAATCATGATCAGTTGTTGCAGTCAGATTGATTTCAAAGCCCTAGCACTGCAATACATGCCTAATGGGAGCCTTGACAATTGGTTGTATACTCTCAAATTCTCCTTTGAATATCCTACGAAGGTTGAATATAATGATAGATGTTGCGTCAGCATTGGAATACCTTCATCATGGTCATGGTTATTCAGAGCAAGTTGTCCACTGTGATGTGAAGCCAAACAATATACTGCTAGATGATGATATGGTTGCACATGTTGCTGATTTTGGCATTGCAAGACTCTTAGGTGGGGGAGATTCTATGACCCAAATCATGACCCTAGCCACAATTGGGTATATGGCTTCAGGTGATGTACTGTTGTGTTTACTTTTCAACTTATAATTTTATTTTCATCATACATAACTAAATTGGCGTATATATATAATATTGCAGAGTTTGGAATGGAAGGAATTGTTTCAACAAGCGGATGTGTATAGCTTTGGTATTGTAATGATGGAGACATTCACAAAAAGGAAGCCAACAGATGAGATGTTTGTTGGGGAAATGAATTTAAAGAAATGGATTGCAAATTCATTGTTTCCATATGCTGCAATAGTTGAAGCTGTGGATGGCAATTTGCTTGGGACCGAGGAAGATCATGATATTGTGAGCAGGAGGGATTGCTTATCATCCATTATGAGATTAGGGCTAGCTTGTTCTGCAGAATTGCCCAAAGAGAGGATTAACATGCAAGATGTGGTTGCCACACTCAATAAAATCAAGATTAAGTTTTTAAAGGACTGTGGAGGAGTGCATGAATGAAGTTCTTGTAGTGATGATAGAGCATGAAGTTGTTGTGAGGGAAGTTATTAGATTTGGATTTCCTATAAGTTCTTTAGCAGTGGAGGTCCTTATCCTCCTATCAAATAATTAAGGATAGGAAAGTAAACATAAAGTTAAGCAGACATTCTGCATATGCAACGTAAACATAAAGGATTTTGTCTAATAGTCAAATTTCTGGCTTCTAGAAGATATACCATCACCGGAAATTATACTTTACTTATTGAATGCACACATTCAATAAGCAATCCAATCCAAATCCACCTGCGTTCCTCTTGTCGATAATAACGTTGCTACTGCTGTATATAGCTATAGGCCGAGTAGCAGCGCAACTTACCAACTTAGCCATTGATGAAAATAAAAACATCAACTTTGCAGCTCAAGAGTCCACGAATCTCTACCGTACCCAAGAAGAAGAACAGAAGCAGGAAAGAAATAACAGGACCTGGCAGAGCTAGCTTAGCCATTGATGTTATGTTATACAAAGTAGTCTAATTTCTGTGGTTGACTAATTCATGAAGAGGAAGATGGGATATTTGTAGCAGTGCTGCAGAGGAGGCCACATAATGATCATGCAAGAACAACTAACAATCTGACATGCTCCATTACAGTCAGATTGCATATAGGCTGGCATTTGTACTTTTGGGCCACCTGTTACATACAATAACTTGCTTGCCTCAGCTTCTTTGGTTTGGTTATAACTTACAACCAAGGTTCAATTAATTCCAGTCTTCCCTATCATATAATTCCAAATTCAAGCTAAACAGAAATCTCAGAGAGTGTAACACTTTTCTTTGTCTGGGCTTGAGCTTTCTTTGGTCATGAGTTCTCCATTCATGAGTAAATTCAAATACCATTTTCCTTTCGGTCTGACTCAGGCATAGATGCAATCACCAAAACCTGCAACACATGATCATGAACACTTCAATGGAGAAATTGATGGTAGGGAGCTTAGGCACTGATTCGAGTAGTTCAGATCAATTAAAAAAATTAAAAAAAACTACTTGCGTAAAGCCGTTCGGCTATACTATTTTGGAAAAATATAAAAGGGGGTATAGCCGGTCGGCTATACTATTAATAATTTAAAAAGGGACCCGCCTAGCGCCTGTGGGGCCACGTCTGAAAACCAGTATCTTATTTTTATAAGAATACCCGAATATAGCCGAACGGCTATACTTATTTTTTTAAATGCCCGAGTATAGCCGAACGGCTGTACTATTTTGAAAATGCGCGAGCGGAGTATAGCCATCCGGCTACACTATTTGCTATTAAAGAAATGTCAAACCATTCCTTCAAAATTATAAAATGCCATATGAGTCCACGAATATGGCAAACCACAAAATTGCACTCTCACCACACACGCTAGAGAGAGAGAGAGAGAGAGAGAGGAGTTTTATGCAAAGTGTGAGAGGGTGGGGAGGAGGGATGGTGTTGCGATGGGTTTTGGGTGGGCGGAGGAGGCTGCTGCGCAGTAAGGGTTTAAAGTTGTTAGAGGGGCGGCAAGAAATGAGAAGAAAATCTGTCAACATATATTAATTCTCTCTCTCATTGCAGGTGTATATACTCGTAGCAGATGAAAAGCAGAGGCTTCTACAAGAACATACATAAGCGACCAAGATTATAAAGTTCTGTAGGACAAATCTACAAGACTTAAAATGGGTCTGGGCTGCGCTAGGTGGGTCTGGGCTGACCTAGGTGTATCTGGGCGGCGCTAGGCGGTTCTAGGCGGCGCTAGGCGGTTCTAGGCGGCGCTAGGCGGGTCTAGGTGGCGCTAGGCTGATCTGCGTGCCAGGGTAGGTCTGGTTCTTTTCTTTTGTTCTTTAAGCCTATTGCCTAGCGATTCTTCTTTGAAGCCGATATTTCGAGAAAGAACTGTATCAATGCACCACCTTTTGACCCCATCAATATTGTTTCATTGCAGGCACATTTCTGCAGCCACTTTCTTTTAGTCTTTTCTTTCACTTCATTTTCTTCTATGTTTATTGATGGGATTCAAAATTATGGCAGCTCATGTTTAGCGAGTTTGAATTTGCTGGGAAACTGAATCCTACTTTTGTGGAAGGGGAATTTAAGCTCCCATTATCAAGCATACGAGCATATCTAAAAGAGCCTATGACTCCCAGGTTTCACATTCTTTTCATTTTGTTGGATTATCTTCTTGTGATTAAACATAATTGATCTGCTAGGTGCACTTTCTGTTTTAGTGTTTAAAGAATCTCTTTGCTTGTGTTCTGTGTAGGTTCGTACCCGACCTGACAGGCCTGGACTTGATCTAACCTCCTGCTGTTCGCTTAAACAAGGAATTGGATTTTATCCTGACATTCAAGTTCAAGGTTTCATACTAATTCAGTGCAAGCTGTTTGATATTTTCATATATAATCAGTGTATCAAAATACCACTTCTTAGCTCTTTTCTGTTCTTTTTCTTTTTCTGTGTCGGATTTAGCTCTTTCAATTTTGTACATTGATAAGTTTTGGAGCAGGGGGAGGATTTAATATGGGAAAGTGGAATCCCATATACAATTGTGAGGCCTTGTGCATTAACTGAGGAGCTTGCCGGAGCAGATCTCATTTTCAACCAAGGAGACAATATAATGGTATATAATCAAATAGAAGATCACTATTCTCTCTTTGTTGTATGCCTGTGATGACATGTATTGCTCTTTCTTTCCCTTATAATAGTAATAATATCTTAATGTTATGATTTATAGTATTTAGATATATGCAGGGTAAGATATCAAGAGAGGAGGTTGCTCAGATTTGTGTTGCTGCGTTGGAAAGCCCCTATGCATCTGGCAAGACATTTGAGGTCACAGCCCGACTTATGTCCCTTAATTGTGTGCTGTGGCTATAATTTGCTATTTTTGGAAGTTAAAAGCTTTTGCAGATTCTGAGGTGCTTATAAACTCATTTGCAGGTTAAAAGTGTTGTGCCATTTAGTGACCGTCAAAATCCACCCCCCGAGAAGGACTACAATGTTTACTTTAAAACTTTGAAAGATGGAATTACAGGAAAGGAAATCCTCGAACAAGATCCTGTACCAGTGTAATGTTTTGCATACATAGAGCTCTAATTTCAACCTTAACTCTGTAAGTATAATGGAGCTTAATATACTTCCATTTTCATCTGAGATAATTCTCTCAGCAATGAGTCAATGACTAATGAGAAGAAAATCTGTCAACATATATTAATTCTAACCACATACCCACTCCTTTCATGAATTTACAAACGTTGCAAGGCCTATATATAATATATACTTTGTATCACACTTTACCCACAGAGAAACAATGGTCGGATGAGTTGTATATTACCAGAACATAAATTCAAATGGAATCCAAGTATGAGTATATATGATGCTTCCATTTGTTTATGTACTTAGATTCTTTGTTACTTGTTTACCTTTAAATTTTGTTTTTATATTTATATCTTGTTTTTAAATACTCATTATTAGGTCAAGTCAAACCCAATCTTACATAAGCTTGTCTCATACAAAGCCAACTCGACACAAACTCATTAGACTCAGTGGGGTAAATTTATTAGATTAGATAACAAAAGAAAATGGACCTTCTTCATCATCCATCAGATGGAAATTACATTACAATATACTTATTATTCTGAGGCATCATCAAATTACAGTTTCCATTTTCCTTTTGGGCAGACTCAGACATAGATACAATCACCAAAACCTGCAACATATGCAAGAATAAGCACACTTTGTTTGCTAAATTCATGTTTAGAAAACATAAGATTTTGCAGTGCATTATATCAAACAAATTGGCTTACTTGGATTAGTGACAATGATAAGGCCAACACCATTGAAATCACAATTGTAGCGTCCATCGGTCTTATAGTAAAGATTCATGGCAAATGAGGCATGGTTTATGAGGGTATTTGGAAAGTAGCATGAACCATGTTCTTGTATTTCACTGCATTCTTTTAATATTCCACAAGTGAAGTTTATGATGTTCTGTAATGCAGAGTCTGGGGTTCCTGGCTTAGGCACACACCAAGTATCCTGCAAACCCAACACAGCATAATAGTAATTAATTAAGTTTAATTAAGCATTTGAAATGATTTTGATATAATTAAGATGATTTGAAATCTTGGTTTAAATTATACTGTTTGGATTTGAGTTACCTCCTTTTCCTGTGGCAGTGGAGGTCCAGATCCTCCTACAAATTTCAAAAGGGAAAGTGAAAGTAAAGTTATACAAATATTTTTGCATATGAAAATGTGCAAAACTCATTATAGTTATAGACACATACCACTCACAAATTGGCAGCAGGGATTGTAACCTGCAAAAATGGTATAGAACCAAAATGTTTAATTTACTGAAAAAGAAAGTCTGAACTTTTGAAACAAATTATTATTATGAAATTGAAGGCCTACTTGGATCTGCCAAGGAAATGAGACTAGTATTGTTAAAATGACAATTCCATTGGTTTCTTCCCATCTTCTGGTAGTAAGCATTCATGGCAAATGAGGCATGGTGCACTGGCCTATCCGGGTCATAGCAAGAACCTCCTTTCTTTGTAGGGCTGCAATCCGCACAGTTACAGGCATAGTCCAGAGCTGACTGCAGTGCATGTTGTGGTGCTGCAGGCTTTGCCACACACCAAGCTTTCTACAACACCATGTATATATGTAAATTAATTGCTAATTCATTTAAGAATTGTTCTTTTTAATTCTTACCTGTCCATTCACCAACATCGAAATCTCCCCTGCAAAAACAAAAAAAAAGCCATGGATGAACATAGGTGAAAATGTAGAGAGAGAGAGAGAGAGAGAGAGAGCAGAAAAGGGGGAAACAAATTACAACAATGTGGAATGCTCTATAGAGTTGTTGAAAAAAAAAACATCAACTTTGCAGCATAAGAGTCCACGAATCTCTACTGTACCCGAGAAGAAGAACAGAAGCAGGAGAGAAATAACAGGACCTAGCAGAGTTAGCTTAGCCATTGCTGTTATGTTATACAAAGTAGTCTAATTTCTGTGGTTGACTAATTCATGAAGAGGAAGATGGGATTTTTGTAGCAGTGCTGCTGAGGAGGACACATAATGATCATGCAAGAACAACTGGGTAACAATTTGATATGCTCCATTACAATCAGATTGCATATAGGCTGGCATTTGTACTTTTGGGCCACCTGTTACACACAATAAATTGCTTGCCTCAGCTTCTTTGGTTTGGTTATAACTTACAAGTTACAACCAAGGTCCAATTAATTCCAGTCTTCAATATCATATAATTCCAAATTTAAGTTAAACAGAAATCTCAGAGAGTGTTACACTTTTCTTTGTCTGGGCTTGAGCTTTCTTTGGTCAGAATTCTCCATTAATTTTTTTTTGGAAGGTTGTAACTGTCAACCTTGGATCCTGAGAAAATTTGGAGAGTTGGTGGAAAGACATGTGAAGACATCCAAACTTTTCTTCCTTTTTAAAGACATCTAACTTTTCCTTTTTTCTGTTGCACCAGTTGAGGTTTCTTGCATTAGAATTATATTTGTATTCTTATCAGGTAGCATACCATGCAGCATTGGGGGTCTTAAAAGTTTGGTTCAACTCTTCTTGGAAAATAATAATTTAGAAGGAACTATTTCTAGTTAATTTGGGGAATTGTTAAGCCTAGAAGACTTGGTTTTATTCAAAAACAATCTCTCTGGACTGATTCCAAAGTCTCTAGAAGAACTCTTGCATCTCAGATTTCTGAATTTGTCTTTCAACAGTCTATGGAGAAATTCCAACTGGTGGAGCTTTTCAAAACTTATCTGCCCAATCATTTTTCTCGAATGGTGCGCTCTGTGGTGCAGCCCAACTCCTTGTTCCACCATGCAAAAAGAGTACGTCCAACCTGAAATATCTTATTCCAGGGATCCTATCAGCAATACTTCTACTGGTTTCTGTATCAATCTTCATACAATGCAGAAAAAGGAAAGTGGAAGTTGCAATAGAGACTGCCTTGTTACCTCAACTTCTTTGGAGAAGAGTTTCACACCTTGAACTTCTGAGGGCGACAAATGGATTTAACAAAAGCAACTTACTTGGAACTGGTGGTTTTGGCTCAGTAGTATATAAAGGTACAATCTCAGATGGGATAGATGTTGCTGTAAAGGTTTTCAATTTACAGCTTGAAGGGGCTTTCAAGAGTTTTGATAGTGAATGCGAAGTGCTGAGCAACATTCGTCACCGAAATCTTATAAAAATCATCGGTTGTTGCAGTCAGATTGATTTCAAAGCCCTAGTACTGCAATACACGCCTAATGGGAGCCTTGACAAGTGGCTGTACTCTCAAAACTCTCATTTGAACATCCTACGGAGGTTGAATATACTGACAGATATTGCGTCAGCATTGGACTACGTACCTTCATCATGGTCATGGTTATCCAAAACATGATGTCCATTGTGATGTGAAGCCAAGCAATATACTACAAGATGATGATATGGTTGCACAAGTTGCTGATTTGTGCATTGCAAGACTCTTAGATGGAGGAGATTCTATCACCCAAACCATGACCCTAGCCAAAAATAAACCCGAGCATAGCCGCACGGCTGTACTATTTTGGAAAATAGCCGACAAAAAAAGCGACCCACGTGTAACAAAAGTATAGCCGCGTGGCTATAGTATGTTGGTTCCATAGCCGCGCGGCTATACTTTATTACAGAACGTTACATTGATAATTAAGTACTGAAACGTCATTTTGTCCGAAAAATTAAAACATTATTTGTCTAAAGGAAACTACTTCAGTTCATCTGTTTTTGTTTTATGACAACCAAAAAAATAAAAACACCTAAAAAAACCAAGCAGTTATATTTTTCCTTCAGAAGTCTTGGCAGCAAGCACAGAGGAAAAAGGAAATGCTGGAGCTAATTGGGCCATCAAGTTTCAATTTTTACACCAATTTCTTAAACTTAGGCAAAGCTAACTTGAGCGAAGCAAATGAAGAACCAAAAGCAGCAATATAGGGAGAGTATGATCTCACCAAAATGAATGAAACTACAGTATGACGCGGAAGAACACCACTAATCGAATACCCGGATGCTATTTCATACTAGAATCTTCAAAAACATCCATGGAAATTAACTTTGTGTATAGGATGGTTTTTCTTTTTCTTCTTTTGTTTGGAAATTATGTCCATGGTATGGTAATTTGCAATTTAACACTTCATGTGTAGAATTCAATGGTTTAATTATGATCAAGTTCATATCACATGCAACGGAATTTTATGTGCTTGTGCTCAATAAACATTGTTCAGGTTATAACAGGGTAACCCTTTACTTCTTGGCACTTGGGAACCTTAACGGTGATAAATTATTTGAAAATATAATGATTTTGCGTCTTAAGTATTTGACTCGAGGTGGACAAGACAACTCTCTCTAAGGAACTCGGCAAAATAGCCCCGTAACTTTGGGAGGGTGCCCCCTCACAAAGGGGGTCGCAGTGACCAAGCTCGGGCGACTGTTTCCCAACTACATAGGTCTTTGCAAAGTCGTAAGATCACGTATGGGGGCTGACACCTTCTCAGTGCCGGAAGGTGAAGGAAGTTGGTGACCTGATGACAAGGGGTGCTCAATAAACAAATTTCTCTAAATCCTTGCGTGGCATGTCATAGTCTTCAATGGAGATTTTTGCTGTTCTGCCCAAGCAATCCCAGTAGATACTAATAGTGGTGGGTGCCGTTGGATTAAGCAGATCGCGTGGTCGGAACTGTACACTGAACTTACGCCAGCCCTATTTTGCTTGAATCAAGATTATGGACTTGATCCAGGCCGTGCGGCAAGATCCTCATTCATTTACATCCATGTATTTTTTTTTCTTTTCTTTCTTTGTTTGTAACCCTAATTTCGTCCCCTTCCCAGGAGAAGTTGCATGCCTGTGTCTTGGGGGCATTTAGTATGATTATGAATGACAATAATTCTTCCCAACACGCACACATGTCATGTGCCAGGAGAGGCAAGTATTTCTATCTAGCTTCCTATTGTGCATGCATGTTTTACATTTATGAGAACAAAGCGAGACGATTAATGTTTCCTCCTAAAATTTAGAAAGAAAAAAAGAAGCAAAATGGTCATTAACCAAGGCTCAAGGCTGCTGCTAGACACATTGAAAATATTACTCTCACGAGTCATGACCAATAAAATCAATTGTTAGAGGCTAGAGGCAGACGAGGAAATGACGAAAAAGATTTGAGGATATAATCTGGTTGCCTTTCCTTCACTCCCCCTCAAACAGCCTCTCATCTTATGAGTGCCTCCACCAGTTTCAGATATCCCCACGGGGAACATGGTTGGGAATTTCTCCTTGATTATCCAATGGCATGTACTGCGCCATGATCGCCCGGATCTCCGAATCCATGTATCTCTGCACAAAATTAATTCAACAAACAACTTTTAGGACCATCACTTTGTACAAAAAGGGAAGCAGCGAACACGGAAACAGTGACGCTGTCTTATGATTCATAGTTGAATTGCATCCAAAGTAAAGTATTTCTGCATCAACAATTTCAGTGTAGGGAACATACCCGGATTCTGTACTTGTACACTGCATATCCCCCAACTCCAACAGCACCCAAACAGAGAATAATAACCCACATGAAGCCCCAGTTAAACTCTGAAACGCTAGCATTTTTACCTGTTTAAATATAAATAAATAAAAGACAGAACAATTAACACAGAAAACCAAGTAAACAAGATGCTATAATAGAGGAGGCAGTAGTAATCAAGTACCAATCAGAATTTGAAAGTGGAAAAGAAGCAGGAATTCTAGTTCAAATCTCCACATGGAAAGGTAGTTCTTCTGTCCTAATCTACAACATGGCTAAGTTGAATGGCTGACTAGTTCATCAAGGAAACCGTTCATTCAAAGTTCAAACTCAAATACAAAACTCATATCCTAGATGCAAATTCTAAATCATATATAATAGATCGTTAGAGCATTAATGCTTCAAACAACTGAAACAGAAAAGAATTGAGAATACTCACTTATACATGCATCATGTTCTCGCATGTACAGTAAACCACCACCGCAGCTGCACTCATAACTGCCCCAAGTATTCTTGCATTTACATTGTGCGCATTGGCAATTGACCTTCTCTTTGCACTCATCCACATCTGGAACGTGAACAAAAGCAGAAAACCAGGCAGGGTGACTTGGTATCAATACAAGAGAACAGGGATCTTCTTAACTCTCATCTACTTGGTTACAATATAAAAACAAAGCACATCTATGAAAGCCAAAGACTGTTTTTGAGGTCACCAACTCATTCACCTATGCCATCATTTAAGGTGGGCTGGAAATCAAGAAGAATGATTGAATTCAAAATTATTTAACTAATAATACCAGTGGTGGCCTTCAAACCCAAGACCCTAAATTATAAGGTCTTGGGGTAGCCTTGTAAACTAATTAGCCCAGGAAGTAGGTAATGTTTTTCTGATAGTATAGTCTTTGGCAATGTGGCATAAAACAGTTTCAGATGGAAAATTTCATGCAAATGGGCCCCAGGAGCTTAAGCTAAATATGCTTCAATGATCAAACAAGTCATCAACTAATTTATCAATGAGAATTAAGCTATAATTAATAATTCGAAACATCCAAACGCAGCAAGTACCTTCACATGTTTTCTCTCCATCACCCTTGAATCCTGGCGGACACTTGCAACCATTTGTATGGTCATCCTGGACATTTAGTAATGAAAAATCATCATCATCTCTCCTTTGGGGGGAAATTTGATAAACAACATTTAAATCCAAACTTACACGACAAGCAGAGTAAGTCCTGCCATTTTGGGTTTTTTTCCAACAACCTCCATTGTTAATTTCACAACGCAAAGCTCCTGAAGCTGTTCAATCATACAAGAGAAACAATGAAATGACTAAAGCCAAAACAGGAAAACTAAAATAGAGAATGGCAAATCAGTTCTACAGTTCACTGATGAAACCTTCATATTCCAACACCCAGTTCTAAAACTTCTGAGCATACTGATTGATTGCCCTTCTTTGAACGCATAAAGAACAAAGAAAAAGGGAAATATGAAGTATTGTCCAGTAAGTAGAGAATACAACTTTGACTGCCGATCGGATAATTTATACTTGCAGTGCATGTGAAAATTTGGAAGTTATGCCACAATTAAACGTAAACAAGATGCACATAATTTACCTTCGCAGCGGGTATAACCATCACCAACAAACTTTACGCCTTGCACAGTAGGGCATTCACACACTCTTCCTCGGAATGTATCCTAAAACAAAAGAATAATCAGTCTACACCAGAAAATCTAAAATCCCAAACAAACTCAAGCATCAGTAACTATGAACACCCTCCACAAAAGAAAGATACCCTGCATGCAGTAATGTTAGCAGATTTGTCCTGCCAGCAACCTCCATTGTTTTCCAAGCACTCATTTGTTTCTATATCTGCACAAAACAAATAAAGAGGAAACTGACACCATCTCAGAGATAATAAAGCTCGAGATAAATAATGAAATGATTCTTAGGGAACCACTGATCAATCTTTTTAAAAACATAAGCTGCCTATGCATCTGGAAGGAGTATTAAAATACTACCGTTTCAAAAACTTATTGCAAGTCCTGGACACATAAACACACATACATTACAGTCTATTGGAATCTGAACCAAGTGGATTCCCGTGTGACGTGAATTCATGGGGAAGGAGGGTTTACAATCATATAAACTCACACATGAGGAATTAAAAGAATCAATTTACATTAGTTTTACATCAGTTATATCAATGAAGAACAGGACAAACTAGATTAAATGAGGACCTTCACTTAAACAAACAGCAGGCTCAGTGGTCTCTTGGAAACCGGCACAGATGGCCTTGAGAACAGCTCCTTTGTCTAATTTCCCTGGAAAAAAAGTAAAGGAACAAACATAAGCCACGAAAAGTGATGAAATTAAACACCTGATGTGATATGGAAAAGAATTGTAATAAACCTCTGTACTGTCTGCTGTTTATTACAAGAGTTGGCAATATTGTAACATCTCCACGGGAGCCTTTGCCAATCTGAAACAAGATTTGAGACGTGAAACATGAGTACAATGTACCATAGCATATACAAAACATGAAAAGATGAGGACATAAGGCTAGAGGAACATCATAAAAAGTTCCCAAGCGCCCAACCTGTGCATCCTGTTCGGCCTTCAGAATTGCGTTCTCCTCATCAGCCTCAGGGTCCCCAATACATTTCTTTATCTTCTTGAGATCAGCACCTTCAATGTTACAGAAAAGATATTGAAATAGTTACTTTGTGATCCTCAGGTTTTAGCAGAGTAACTAACTTTCATCCACAAAAATCTCACCGAGAGATAAAGATATTTAGACAGCTCACATAACATTTTTTGACATTTTCTTCATATACAAAATCAATTGGATTAATGAATTTTCAAAATTTTGACTTTCTATAGATGTTAAGTGGTTAACATACCAAGGGATTCAATAACTTGATTTGCACACTCTTCGCTGTACTTCTTCTCCTTCATTGGGCAACGTATGGCAAAGTCAGTGACATAGTCCCACCAAAGCCATGGCTTTCCACTTTCATTGGCCACTTTATAGAAGCAAGCTTGACGGAGATTTTGAACCACAACATCTTTCCCATCATAACCTTTACTGAAATCTTGCTCAGGATCTGGAGCACAGTACCTCCCATGATTGATACACTGAGACTTGCACTGTTTGCTCAAAACAAAAGCTTCTGGGCAGTACCAAGTTATATAGTGGGGAGTAAACTGAGTGTAACCCTTCCGCTCTAGTACCTGAGCTGCTCCTTTAAAGTTCTTCACAAACTCAATCTGGCTGTCACACTTTGGCCCACACTCATCATTGCTATTCGTCCAGAACTCATACTCAACACGTTCATCAGGATGTGGAAGAGCCTCTGTCCAGTCTAGATTTATGTTGACCATCTCCCCACTAGATAGAGATTTTTTATGCTGTCTCCCAGAGATTTGCTAATAAGGGCTGAGGGAATTGTGATCTTTTGCAGATAATCAGCATCCGCATTTTCTTCTTCAGGAGTGTCCATAGTAATCAATGGTTCATTTCTGTCATCTGCAACGAGAATAGCGGCTGCTCCACCTTTCTGTGCATTCCATGCCTTCAGTGTGAAGAAACAATCTGCCAGGACATCACAGTCGATTAGTCATAAATCAGAACAGACCAGTGAAGGGACACACACAGAGTCTCAATCAAAAGCAGCATGGACTGGTAGCAAGGCAAACGATGTTTCATATGGGGCATGAAAATAGTCATAAATATCTTACACATGTATAAACATTTAAAATAACAGAAGGAGGTTAAGATCTTGAAATATGAATACCTAAGGACTAACCAACAAACAGGACTCAACATATTCAGTTATCATACCTAAACCAAGCATTTTAAAAACTTTTCACAACAAGTATCAGTGACTGGGGCCTGGACATTAGCAAGTAAGGTTCAGCAGCCAAGTAACAAATTTTTATGATATTCATGACAACAAGATTAGATAGCAACCAGAAGAAAAGAAATTTAAAAAACACCAAACTAATCGTCAGCTTTCATTTATAAACCAGAAACAAATCGATTGCATTCTATAACACCCCATAATTATTACTACACAAATTTGCAGACCGATAACAAGCAATTACCACAAACTGATATCTATACAAACCACCTCTAAAGTTCATTCCGAGTAAGTCACAATCCATGAGAACTGGAAGCTAAAAAATGCGAAATTGAAAAGGCTAACCTCCTCGATCGACAAGAAGAAAGGTTGGTAGACCGCCAGGCTTCGATTTGAATGAGACATCGAAATCATCAAAGCTCTTGCATGCCTTTTGATTGGCTTTCGGGTAATACACAGTCCCGACCAAGGTTCCTCCATATTGAGGAACCCCAAAGTTCCCAATTGCACATTCATATACACTTTTCAACGAGCTCGGAGAAGTCACTTTCAAGCTGTTCTTCTCCACCACGAACCTCCCCACGCAAACCCCACAAAGAAGAAACCAAACCCCAACTAAAAATCCCAGCTTTTCCTTCATCTTAGACACTGACACTGATTCTCCAATTTATTGCTCCAAAGAGAGAGAACCAGATCAAACCCAATCTTACAAGGAACAGGTTTTCCCCAACAAAATCTCGTCTTTCTTAAAACCCAGATCGCAAAATTTGATAATTAAGAAGAGGAACTAGTTATTTCGAACTGCAAGTTTTCTGGGTCTGGAACTAAATTTCGTGGGAAGCGTAGAAAGGTCAAAGAGGTAGTTTTCTTTTAGCGTGTGTTTAGATTCAGAGAAGAAAAGTATCTAAGTGGAAAATGTTTTAAATTGTTAAAATAAACCAAATTACCACTCCAACTATAATTCTGATTTCTATTCCGAAACTTACCAGAAAACAACGAAATTTCCAAATTCTCCACTGTTTGATTTTGACGGGAACCTTATTCTAGACTGCTTATTTGGTTTTCTTTTTCCATTGCGTTGTCTTGAAGCTATTGGATCAAAAAGAAGGATCCACGTTTGAGCTGCGAACGATGTAACATTATACTTTGCATGCAATCCACGTGTTTCTTTTTGCCTATAAACACTTTACTCTCTCACTTCCACTCATATCCTAATTTTTAGGCAATCAAGAAACTAATTACATTCCTAAGTGTTGATTTGGCAAGTTTGTTAAGTTAGTGTACATGCCGATTTGCATCCGATTTCGATTTCTCTCCCCTTACATTAGAGATGTGTAGAACATCGCTTTGTCAAAAAAATCAACTGATGTCATTTCAATTTAGATCACATTAGTAGAGATAATATATGTTTAATTTGATGCTTTAATTAAGAGTTAATCGTATTATGTTGGTGCATGCTACTCTTGGATAATTTGCAGAAGAGAAACACGTGGTTGGCTGCTGGATGAGGCATCTCTGTGGTAAAGAATCATACAAGATCACACCTGGAATGTGGAGACTTTAACTGGCGGCGGTCCCATCCCATGCAATTTAAAGCAATTCATGGGCCTCATGGCAAAAGCTAGAATTATTGTCACCGGCAAAAAAAGGAAAAAAAGAAGTTATAATCCTTAATATGATTGGAAATGTAGCAACATAAATTTCTCACCGTAAAAGGCGACACCTTATATAACCCAAATTGTTAAAAGTCTGTAGAAAAAATAAAATAAAAGTATTTATGATATATATAATAATATTAGATGTTGTGTGGCAAGTGACCAAGCTTTTTGCATATTTCTTGCACCGTGGACACGCCGCCATACTTTTTGAAGGCAACGTAAAGGCACCAAACCCACCTCCATTATTAAAATTTTGATTTATTTCAAGCCAAATGGTTTTGTTAACAAACTGATGTGACTTGGGTAAATCGATCAAATATCATTTTCAGCACAAAATAAATATAATTAAATCAACTAATGTGACTTGGGTATGATGGCTGAGATAAAGAAATGCACAATTCCATTTGGCATACTTTCAGCTCACAAAGAGTTCTTCTTGTCATCGACTGAGAAACCTATAGCTAGAGTTTGACTGTAAAACAAGTCCCTTCAATTCAATTGATGATCTAAATTGAGCCAACACAAGTAGAACAAAAGGCAGGAGAATACTTAAACATAAATTGATGCTCTCAGTGAAGATGTACGTGGTCGTGGTCGTGGTCGTGGTTGGTCGTGGTCGTGGTTGTGGTGACGGCAGTTATCCAATCCAAAACACTGCAGAAGAGAGAAACAAGCCGCAAAGATGCATCTCCCGATTCTTCTGAAAGTTGAAGAGACTAAATAACAAGGGCAGCAACAACACGATAACAATGGATCATCATAAGGGCTGTCTCCATCTCCATGGTGATGGTGGTGAGGACGACCCATGTTCTTTCCTTAAACTATTAGACAAAACCAAAAGAAACCCAGCAATTCAAATCCACTTCTGCAAGACCCCTTTTCTTGAAAATGGCATTTGAAACATAAACAATGAGAAATTGGGTTCATCGCTGAAACATCAAAGAAAGAGCTTGTAGTTCTTAAGGTACCTGTATATGAAACTTATGAAAGAGCAAATTGTTGAAGCCAAAGCTGCCAGGGCTTTCCTTTTCTGCAGCTATGAATTTATTTGTGAAACTGAAAAGAACCTTTTTTTTTGGGAACTGAAAAGAACTTGACTAGTCCAGAAAGAAACTGGTAATTGGGAAAGTTCAATTCTCAATGCAACGTATGAATACGAGAAATGAACAACTAACATCAATAGAAACCAAGACGATTCTGTGAAGTGAGCTGGTGGACAATATATTCTGGCCCAAGTGGTTGACACCAAGAAGTTATTGTTGGTGCACTTGTTACTTTTTTTGTTATGTTATGTATATTAGTATTCCCAATAGAACAAGTAGACAACAAGTTGTGGCTGTAGTTTAGTGGTAAGAATTCCACGTTGTGGCCGTGGAGACCTGGGCTCGAATCCCAGCAGCCACAAAATATACCCTTTTAATTTGGTTTTGTTTTTGCTTTATTTGTATTTGGCTGTAAACCCCTACAGTACAATTTTTTTTTTTCACTTCATTTTTAAGAAAGTGACAACCTACAGAGATATAGGTGAAATAATTGTCACCAGAGAAGATACGAGAGCAGTAGAAATATATCCAAAGCAGAGATTCAGAGAATGGAAATGGCTCATCATGAATTAGATTATCTTTGTTCTCTTGCCTAAACTGAAAGTGATCGTACATTTATGGTACAGCTCTAAAATTTGTATTTCTTTCTTCACATACTTCTCTACCATAACTAGTCATTCACCTATTCTCTCTACATACAATACAACATAGATTCTGTCTCAAGATTTATAGAACTGCTGGATATGATGAAACTGAAGCTTCATCAAGGTAAAAATACAGGGCCAGCAAAGATCTATTCTCGCTTATCCTCCTCCAGATCTTCGGCAAGCACATTGTCGTATTCTCGCATGGCTGTCACATCTCCACTCACCTTCAAAGCACCACTTGTTAACGAGATGCCCTCCTCATCAAAATCGTCTCCTGCTTCCTCCAAGTATGCATATCTACATGTCCCGGACCAGAATAAGAACATTAATGAATGTTATCAACTTTTGCGAAGGAAATACAAAAAATACCAAATTCATAGATGTCATTTGCATTTTGAATTCAAATCACCAAAAAGGTGTAACGGATTTAAAAAAAAATCATGAGAAAGCAGAGAAAGAAATAGGGTTTTGGTTACACATGCGATTGAATTTCCACAAAATTTCGACAAGAATAGCATACCCTTTTATGCTTAAGATAAATAACACTTAATACACAAGATATTAGAGAGAACAAAAGGTCATCTATAACATAAATTTTATGCCAGTCAAGTCAAACAATGGAAACATGAGTTAAGGAAATATATATATATTTTTTTATATTTATAACTACATGCAGATATGACTGTTATGATACAAGACACCATGAACCTGTTAACAAGCAATGTCAAACAAAATACCTAGTTGGGTTACGTGAAGGAGCCCAAAGGATACATATCACTGCCAAGAGAGCATATGCAAGCAGAGTCCAGAATGCAGGAATAATCCAAGCAATTTGCCAATACTCACTCAGAGGATCCGTTGCATTGAAATATAGCTGAGTCAACAATATCCAGGGGAGATTCAATTAGTAGCTTTACTGGAGATAAGAATACGAATAAAGACACCACAAAATCCAGTATAGTTCATTGTACCCCATGGAATTGTTAATTCACAATATACAACTTTGCACTGAGTAATACCTCAAAGCCAATCCAAGCAACCGAGAGAAGCACAAAAATGGCGAGATAGTTGGTAAATTTTCGGTATAGTTCCAATTTAGCCATGTTTCTCCTGATCTGCATGCAAAAGAAACAAGAGGAAGAAGGTCAAGAATTGGTCATTAATGTAACATCATATGCCCCCCACCGTCCCAACCCCCACTCCTCCAACAAAACACACACAATTACAGAAAGATATTAATGGGATGAACAATGTTACATGAAACAGAAGATACTAAATTAAAGCATTCATATGATGAAGGTATAACAGAAGGCAAATAGGGAGAGTGAAAAGAATAAAAGAAGTTTCTCTAAAGTTTTTGATAACGATGAGAAAATCCATAGAATAAACCATGAATCTAAGAAGGCAACAGGTAGAACCAAAAACAACTTTGTTTTTCCAGAAAAATCATTAATGTTCCCCAAATGTTCAACAAGCTCAAGTGCTTCTGATGCCACGAAATATACCAGACCAAGAAGAAATACTTTTGGTGTTATACCACCCAGTGTAGGCTTCACGACACCAAAGCCCATGGAAACTACCAAAAGAAGAAGGCGAGAAAGAGTCTTCTTGACAGCGCTAAAGGTTACAGCCCATAATGTAATGCCCATAGGTCTGATTCCAGTTGAATTAAAATTGGCATACTCAAAGTACCACACAGCCATTTCACACATTCCAAGAGCAATCACTGCTGTAATATGGTAGTGCAATTGAATAATATCCTTCCAGAACTGAACAAACCTCAGAAACCAGGCTAGGCCAAGCACAAGGTAAGCTAAAGACATAAAGCCATATAATGTCATCAAAGGAGCCATCTTCCCAGGCAAATAACCATCTGGGTTTCTCCAATCAGTCCTTCCTTTAATCAATGTGCCCTTGAGTTGCGGATCACAGAACATAAAATAAAGGTAGTACATTCCAGAACTATTGATATTAATTGACTTAGTATCCATTCTGGCCTCTTCATCCTTTCCATTAAAAAAGGTTTTGATGCGCACAGGCCAGTCAGGGTTGTCTGGATTTTTGTGGATAACAACCTCTCCCACCGTGCAGTATCCAGAATTCGAAAGATTCCTGGTGCAGCATATCTTTTCGGATTGGACGAAAGAAGCTCCAATCCGAACCCTATCCTTCACTTCAAGAATGATAGCTTCCACCAAACCAGTATTCTGCTGCATTTCACTTTGCTTATTGGCAGACTCTTTAGTCCTCACAAAAGTGACACTCTCAAACCTGAAATTCCATTAGTGAGCGCGACATCGTCTATGGAGCCAAATCCATAGCAGGAAATCATGAAATAATTTTTTTAAAATCAATTGCACAACCATGATTATAACCCAGGTGATTAAAAATCTCAATTTACCAAATAGTTCTTACATGTACAAACTAACTAACTGCACATAATTCACTATCTTAAAGAAATTGGTATCTATGATTCTACAACTACCAGGTAGCATATAAAGTAACAAAATTTGCAATACAGAGAGGATAAAAGAAGTAATAGAAATTAGTGACCTGATGAAGGACTTGCCCTTGAGGTGATGATTGTCTGTGGACGAAGAATCAGCAGAACCATGGACCTTAGAAGCGTAGAGGCCCTCGCTGCCGCCATGGAAGAAGAAGGCGTTTGACTGAGGACTGAAAGCTTCATTTCTGTACTCGTGGATTGAAGCATTACACTGTATGATGCACTCGTTGCATATAATAAAATAACCCCAAATATGAACCCTAAAAGCGAGCTCTTTTCACACCACAACAATCTCTGTTCCATTTCTCTCACCTCCCCTCTTCCTCTAAAGCTATCAGCGCAGTCGTTTTTGAGATGGTAAAGTGAGCAAGATAGAGGCAACCAACTGAAAAGGACACCGCACCTCCCTTACTGGTACCGGTACTGACTCTCGCTCGGTCTAAATGGCTTCTTGTTGGGCCTTCTTTCCGACGCTATTCTCTTGGGATGGTTTATGTGTTTGGGTTCTCATGCCTTTATCAACTTTGTAGGTATTGGGCTTTTTGTTGTCAAACTTTTGAACCAAAAAATATAAAAAAATAAAGCATTGTGGTACTGGACTGAGCGGCATATTTTGTTCAGAAATACTAAAATGAGAGGTTATAAAGAGGGGGTTTTTAATAGTCTTTTTTATAATAAAAAATTATATCAAAGGGGGTTTTTTAATAGTCATTCGATCAATTGTAGAGTAATTATTGTAAGGTTGGTTGAACCTCTCAACGTAGTCCTCAACATAGCCGGCACAATCACAAGTTCAGACTTAATATTTTTAGACGAAACATTCAAATCATTTGAATCAAATGAGAAAAATATAATTAAAAATCGGAATATGAATAACTTTTTCTTTTCCACAGCATTTCAATTGAAAATCATTTCCTACTCATTTAGAGCATTTGTTTTTTGGTCTTGACCTACTTAACTTCTTAAACTATATCTATAGTGGACATCTAGCCATCTACTTTAGCTTGGCAAATCAGTAGAGTTTAATTAGGTGAACTTACAAAGCATGCCCATATAAATTATTAGGCGTTTTGTGGATTACTCAAACCCCAGCCACAAAAATTTACAATGTCCATCATACATAATACCAGCTGTTCTGAACCATCTTTCACAAATAGATTTTGCCACCTTCAAAGCATTATTCATACCCTCTTCCACTTCACATGCATGCCTCTAATCTGCTGAAGAGAATATGGAAGTGCTTGTTTATTTAGACACCATGTTGGTCACCTTGAGCCTCTTCCTTCTAATAAGTTACCATGCATATTTATGGCATACCTTCAAGACCAAGCCATCTCATACAACCATTGGAATTGACTCAATCAGAAGAAGAATATGGTTTCTTGAAATTAAGGAGGTAAGTCCAAAACCCTCTTCATGATTTTCGAAATCCCACTTGGAAAAAAAAGCCTCAATTTGAGGTTTCTAGTCTTAATTAAATTAAATGATTTGCAGGGTGATGGTTTGAAGGCTATGCTGGCAGTCCAAAGCTTGAGAAACACTCAAATGGTGGCAATATTCACAGCTTCAATAGCAATTGCCTTTAGCTTGGCCTTGGCTGCTCTGACCAACAATGCCTACAATGCAAGACACCTCTTAATCAAAAGCCCCCTTTTCGGTTCACAGTCTGGAAGAATGTTTGCTCTCAAGTATGGCTTTGCCTCAGTTATCTTGCTGTTTAGTTCATTATGCAGCTCTATGGCCACCGTGTTCTTCATTGATACCATTTTTCTCATCAACGCTTCTGCTGAGTTCTCATCTTCTGGAATTACACAAACACTATTTGAAAGAGGATACATGTTGGCTCTCATAGGCCACAGGTTGCTCTGTATCTCATTTCCCCTTATGTTGTGGTTGTTTGGTCCAGTGCCTGTGGCATTGTCGTCCCTGGCCTTGGTTTGGTGGCTCTCTGAGCTTGATTTTGTTGGGAAATTCAAAAAAAGCAATAGGCAAAGTCTCGGTTGAGGAACAAGTTAAGAAAGCAATGCAGATGCATGTATATTTTTATAATTATAGTCGAAGTTTAAGTTGACTCGTCACCAGTTGACTCATCACGTGATTATATATAACCGTCACTAGTTTTATATAATTATGTTCATATCCTTCTCACTCATCACGTGATTATATATAATCGTCACCAGTTGTATATAATTATATTCTTATCTCTCTCATCACGTGATTATACAACTAAATACATATTATCCTCTTAACCGATACCCGTAAGAAAACTCACAATAAATAGGTGGTCCAGAATCCTTGTGCAATAATTTTTGTGCGCAATTGCTTTTGTTATTAGGTTCTAACTAAAGCAATCTTTTGAAGTGGCCATACAAAAGCACCCAATTAGAAGTAGGCACACAACACAAGTTACACAACCATGGCCTTCATGTGGCTGAAAAAACATTACGAGTTAAAAATCGAATCAAACTTTATAACGCAATCGTTGCTTTCCCTTATACAATTTCCAGGACAAAATTAATCCATTTAAAACATTTGTGGACTGGCCACTAGAACCAATGCTCAGTCTTTTGCATATTCCTCCAACCCCACATCAAAACTTTAATGTCCATTATACAAATTCCACAACTCTGCCTGCCAATTACGACACATTCACTAGAGGCATTTGCTTGTGACGAAAATTCCACTACCGTTTGCTCCTCCTAGACTCATTTGGGCTCTCTCATCAGTCACAATATATAGGATTGCTTTGGCTACAAATCCATCTCTGATTCTCTAGGAATTAAATCTTCAAAGAACTTGAGATGGGAGTGGTTGTTTATCTAGACACCATTTTGGTCCCCTTGAGCCTCTTTCTCACAGTAGGCTACCATGCCTATCTCTGGCACAACTTCAAGAACAAACCCTCTCACACCACAATTGGAGTCAACATGCTGAAAAGGAGAGCATGGTTTCTAGAGCTAAATGGGGTAATTAAGCCCAACCATATCCATCTAATCAACCCTCTAAAGACCATTATTGTATTAATTGTATCTTAGATTACTTATTCTTGCTAATTTATATGATGATGTTGGCTATGCAGGGAGATGACAAGAAAGGCATGCTGGCAGTCCAAAGCTTGAGAAACACTCTGATGGGCTCAACACTCACAGCATCCATAGCAATTCTCATTGAAGTCTCATTGGCAGCCTTCATAAACAACAGCTATAGTGCAAACCACCTCTTCAGCCATGCATTTTTTGGGTCACAATCTACAATGATTTTTGCTCTGAAATATGGCTCAGCAGCATTGTCCTTGGCAGTGAGCTTCTTGTGCAGCTCCATGGCAATTGGGTTTTTGATTGATGCCAATTTCTTGATAAATGCATCTGGTGATCATGAGTTCACATCTTCTGCACACATAAGAACCATATTTGAGAAAGGCTTCATTCTGGCTTTTGTGAGCAGCAGAATGCTCTGCATCACTTTTCTCATGCTGCTGTGGATGCTTGGTCCTGTCCCAGTTTGGTTGTCATCTCTTGCTCTGGTTTGGGGGCTTTACGGGCTTGATTTTGTTGGGAAGTTGTCAAAAGGCAACAAGCAAAGTCTCAGTTGAAGACTGAAGAGAATATGTGCACATATGTTTTTTGTAGTGACTTTGATTTTTATGTTCTGTTGCAAATATTTGGGACTCTGGTGTTTCCTGGTGCTCAGTTTGTATCTTTTCTGCGTTAATAGTAAATGCGAATAGGCCATAATAAAATTACTATCTTCTGATTCATTGCATGATTGCATCCATGGAAGTAGGACCTTATAATTGAGTGTAGGCTTTGAACACTTTGCTTTATAGCCTTTATCCATGCATGAGAAATCAAAGAAGAATGACATCATCTTATCAACAAGAAAAAAAATTAAAAAATAAAAAATAAAAAGAGAAGAAGAATGACATCAATGGGCCCTTTTTTTTATTTATTTTTATTTTTTATAACAATCAACGGTCCATTTTTTAGTAGACCAATTCCTTAGCCCAACTGAAACTTCATTTTTGGGCCTTGGGCCGCTTGTTGTTATTGAACTTTGTCTTATGCACTACCATTTGCATTCAACAGCTAATAGACAAGTCTTTTGTAATGAAATATATTCGACTAACGTCATACTTTCAGCTGCCAATATGTTCCTACGATGCATCTGTCATATAATTTGTACACCATATGTTATATTATAAAATAAATTAGTTAGGACTAGTAAAATTTGTGGATCATCCCCTACGAAGGAAACTAATAAATTAATGTTCAAACAAAATATTCTCGTTCTAGATCTTCACAAAACAAAAACACAAAAAAACACAAAAAAAGTTTCGTACGTTCTAGATAATCATGACTTGTAAAATTTTCTTTAGTGAATTAACTTCGATACATAATATAAAATTTTGTCCTCACGAGGGGAAATTCACAAGCCGCCCCTTATCCTAGTAGTTTTAAACATAGGATAAGCCAAAAAAAAAGTTTATTATGATACATTTATTTGGAGACCTAAAGATATTTTTTGGTCTCCTTTTGTTCTAGCAGACTAAAATGATTCAAATCAAACCAAGTTTCCAATCACTTTCTCATTAATGACAAAAATTTTAGAAAATCCATAACCTTTAATTAACTTATATCGACTATGGAACATTAACTTGGACTCGAATAAAAGGGATCACCATCGTAGGAACTTTCCAGTCTTAAATATGAATATTGGTGCTTATTATTTGAGGGTGGGCTTCTCTTGATCAAATATATATGTGTGTATATATATATATATATATATATATTACATGATTTTTCTACACTAATAAAGCAACTATAGATCATTCTCTTCAAAAATCAGAACACACGACTTTTTCCTCCATCAAACTTGTGCAAGTACGTACGTACTAATCATCTACCTCAACTCATGTTGCAGAAACTCATCAAATGCGAAGTCATCATAATTAAACCCCGCCATTTTCCTATAAATCGCATCCTCGTCAAGCTGGGCAATATTGGCAGATGCAAACTCGCTCATGAGCCCAGGGGACGCGAATGCCGGAAGATCAGGAGGTGATACAAGATAATCACTCAATGATAATTGGTTGTGGTGCTGGGTTGTCATATAATCACTTGGCATCGTCTCTTCCTTGAAACATTCTTCTCCTTTTAGCGATTTAAACGACGAGAAAAAGGGGTGCTCTTGTTTGCTTGAGGGGTTGGTGTCGTCAAATCTGATGAACTTTGAAGACTCTCTAGGGCTTGTACAATCCAAGATCAGCTCAGAAGCTTTCAAGTAGCCTCTGCATGTGTGGTTGCCATAATATGTGGTACGAAACAATGGTGGATCATCTTCAACTTGTTGTACGTGCTTGGTTGCTTGGCATGCTTGATCGAATTTGTGGGTGCACCTAAAGTAGTTCCTGCATTGCATGCTCACGACATATCCAATTAATTGAGATATTAACCAAGGTTGCAATATAAGTAAACAAAGCATACGATAATTTTCGGATACGTACAACATGGAGATATTTTTGAAGATGTACGAAGTGGTAAACCCTAAAAGAGTTACAATAGAAAAGAAATCCTAATTACAATAAAACTATACGTACAAAGCGTAAGTAATTACACAAAATAAACAAAAATATTCTCGCCAACACCTATAAGTTGTAGAGAAATTGTATGTATGTACACGTACCTTGGGTGCTTGGCATTAAGGATGAGTTTTTGTCCGTACTTCCTCCATGCATGACCATCTTCTGTGAAAGCAGGAGAGTCTTTAATCCAAGAGTGGCAAGTCTTCCTGCAAGTCATTAACAACTTCCAACTCTTGGTTTAGAACTGGATTGATTACAAATTCATTGATCATTAATTAATTTACGCCAAATTGATGAAATGAAGTAATAAAATTGAAAAATGATAGAAGGAAAAAGGAAAAGAATGAAATTGGGGGAAGACCCCAAAGAACAGCTACACTTTAATGAGTATCTTGTTTTTGAAAGAAAAGAAAAGCATATGTTTTTCTTAGTATATGGCATGACATGCATGCATGAGCTTATCAAATCAAATTGGTAGGCCTTCATCCCTTATTTTGTATTTTGTTGAATTGTTAGGAGAAAGTTCCTAACAAAAACCTAATGCTTTTCATGTGTATGTGGATGACTTGAAAAAAAAAGTTCTTCAACAAAGATAGTTTACTTGCTCGACCCAATCTCATACTCCTTCCCGACCTAATTTACTCTCACGATTCAAGCACTCTCGAAAAAGAAAGATCGTTTCACGCATTAATTAACTCACTCATGTACCTCATTAAGACGTTTATATTGAATACTTTTGACATTGAACAATCAATCAATCATGCACGGAAGAAATTACCTCTAATTAGAAACAAAAACAAACTGTTAATCTTGCAGTGAGATCTATTTTGCTCATATAATTACCGTGAGTTGATGAATCTATGTAAATTATAGTAATGAAATAGTTACATATATATATATATATATATATATCAATAGTATAGTGAATGTAATTAATTGATTATATACCTTTTCTTGTAAGAGCCTCTGCGATCCGTGGAGAAGGTCGAAGCACTCTTATAACTCTCCTCATGAGAAGCTTCACACTTAATAGCATGATCAAGTAGATGATCAACATCCCAAGATGATGCACCTGCACCACCACCACCACCCCCACCACCACTAGTATTCACTTGAATAATCTGATCAGAAATCAGCTCCTGATCATCATGATGATGAAACTCCTTCATCTCCTTCCCATTTGCGATGAAAAGGGTATTCGAAAATGACCCCAACATCTTATTAACAAAACCTTCATCATCGCCCGATCCCAAATCATGATTATGATCACCATTAACAGTAAGTGACCTATTATTATGAAGATTAATTACCCTACTAAGTTGACCACTGGCAACTTCACGACCTTGGATCAGCTCCTCCATCTCACTTTGCCAATTTGACGACACTCCCTCCATCCAAAGACCACTCCAAGTTTTGTTTTTGTTTTTGTTTATTTATTTCTATGTTTAAGTTTTGGTCGATATCACAAATTTATGATAAATTTTGGTGATGGATCGGGAGACCATTTTATATGCGTCAAAAAGACACAATCAGCGCGATTGATGTCTCTCCTTGGATGAACGGACGGATGGCCGTCCACGTCATACGACATATCGTCTCATGTCATCCCTGAGGTCACTGTTGTATCGTCATCGACTCGTTGCTGCCTGGTGTACTGACCTTCTGGACATTTTATTTGTATATTTATTTATTTTGCTAATTTTGGGAAAGCAACAATTTTTTAAAAAAAATCTCAAGTTGTTGTGCCAATGGGACATCCAATAAGATATCCAAAATTTAAAGTCATATTTTATCTTATTTTCTCCTTTCTATGCTTGAAATTTAACTCGTTTAAGATGCAAAGTTTTCAAAGTTTCAACATTTTCCCCCACTGAGAAATTAAAATGAAGAAATCGGTCTTTTTTAGGGTTTGGAATTTGTCAACAACTTTCGACGGAAGCTGCTACAATGAGGAGGTATAGGTGAGGGGTCCAATCCAATCCAACCATGTTGAAGTTTAATGGTTGGATTGGACACCCCTCACCGTCATACCCCTTCATTATAGCCTTTTCAACTTTGCCTCTGGCCTTTAATGAAGTTTATATTTGACTATAAAAAAAAAGTAACCTAAACTCTACCTCTTGGTTTTGTTGTGTCATTGAATTCAGATCTAATTACATATAATCCACAATGATATCTCTTTGATTTGTAGTATATTTGAGTTGTGTTATAGAATTAGAACAATTATTAGTTCATCTTATTGGAAGTGTAGGTTAAGGATATGCCAACAAAGTTTTATTACGATACAAATCATTTGGAGACCTAAAGAATATCTCTCTTTTAATTATATGTTTAGGTTTCTAGCGAAGATTATAAAAAAGAAAAAGTAAACTTAACGTGTTGAGCAAACTTGACTCATCCGACCGGACCAAATCAAATGAACCAAAGCCATTCCCGTCACTTTCACACATGCCTAATCAAAATTTCTAATCCAAAACTTGGAAAAGCTATATAACCTTTGTGTGAAGATAAAGAGATAAGGAAAGGGGTCCACTGTGGTCTACTTTCAGTGGCACGAGGGTTGACCAGCCAATTAGGAATTTAGGATATATTTATGTGAATATCTGGTCTTGTTCAGTGTTGACTGTTCGTACATTCACTAGTGGAACTCTCCATGCATTAGATTCGATTTGCTGGTTGATGGTAACTTCCGATTTGCTGAATATCTTCAATCTCTTCTTTTGTTTGACAATAACTCAGCAACAACAAAAATATAAAAAAGAGGACATAGGATTACGTACATATACCATCTATATAGTACCAAGTCATAAAATGAAAAGGGATATACGATCAAAAGAAATTATTGGTGTCGTTTCGAGGATAATATTCTATTGTCATATTTATATCATAGTATTAAGATTTCATGACAAATATCTATATAGATCCTTGATTTTGTTTCTGTGAGTATAGGAGGCCCTAGTTTCTTAAAAGGCGTACGTTGTTGCTCAAGTATGGTTCAAATACTTTTACTTTTGTAATTTGCTCTTTCATTATGAAACCCCCCCAAACTTTACACACACCCTAAGGTGTATAAAATATAGTATTTTCCCTAACTTATTAACATCGTTTTGTTCTGTGTCTCATAGCGAAGACACATTCCTAAACCTAGTGGGTTGAGGGAGGATTTGATGTCCAAGGCAAATTAAACCACACTTCATCATGTACAGACTGTTAAAGCAAATCTTTTCCGTGCACTATCTGTCTTTTTTGGACCTACAACAATATAAAATCTATTAGCTTTAATCACCACAATCATGGGTTGGCTACAATATTATTTAATTACATATTTTGATTTTGACAAATTTTTAACTCATATGAGACATTTTATGCAGAAATGAGATACAATACGAATTTATTTTCGATGGATTAAACATATATGTTTATTTGCCATAACTTAATAAGGAATAAGACTCTCTACTCGCTTTTGATTAAACCTAATCAGAAGCAGGTGCTTTTGATTTGTTAAATCATATTGCATTTCAAATCATTACACTTTTGTAATAAATAAAAAATTGCAACTTATTGTATATATATAGTCCCCTTTTATTAAGGGATCCTTCAAATGATTTTATTTGAGAGACACCCTTTAGGGTCCCTTACAATTTATTTTTTTCAACGATCCAAACCATCTATTTTTTAATTCTACATTCATAGATCATTCTTACAAAAAATTAGAAAAATCGGAAACCGTTTTGACATCCAATTGTGTCCTACAAAGTTAATAAATAAGGTGCTTCAAGAAAGTATTAAAATTACAATAACTCAATTGAGTAGTCAAATGATATATATATATATATATGTGTGTGTGTGTGTGTGTCACAATAATTCAATTATTAAAATTGAAGAACTTGATTGGAATAACTAAAATAAGTAAATGAAATTGAAATTTAATTGGATTACACTTTAAATATAACTTAATTAAAAGGGATTTAAGTAAGTTATATTTTAGAGAGATATTTGATTAAGAAACATCATGGATATACTTCAAGTGCAAGCTTACATAATTGGCAAAAAATGAAGCAAAAGGATTGCTTCCTATTTTTGGATGAATAAATGTTTACAAACAGAAGTTGAACAAGCGATTATTCCTACATCAAACTTATTCCAAGGAACAAATATATTGCAAACACCTCATCATCAAAATTCAAATATATTGCAAAACTTCATCCAAGTCAAAAGACCCCATCATTAACCAAGAAATCACATCCTCATGTTCAAGCTCATCCAGGGTTGATGAGAACCCGCTCGGGGGCCCAGAGGACTCAAACGTCATCAGATCGGGTGACACAAGATAATCACACAACCATGAATGGTTGTCGTGGCTTGTCATCACACGATCATCACTTGTTGGTGGTATCTCTTCCTTAATGATCGATTCTTCCTTGAAGACCAATTCTTCTTTTTTAACTGATGTGAAGAATGAGAAAAAGGGGTGATCTTGTTTGGTGTCGCTAAATCTGATGAAATTTGAAGACTCTCTAGGACTTGTACAATCCAAGAGCAACTCAGAAGCTTTTAGGTAGTCTCTGCATGTGTGGTTGCCATGATATGTGGTCCGAAACATTGGTGGATGATCTTGAATTTGTTGCACGTATTTGGTTGCTTTGCAAGATTGTTCGAACTTGTGAGTGCACCTATAGTAATTCCTGCATCGTATAACATGACCATGGTCAACATCAATTATTCAAAAGTTATTACTTTATTAATTTGAGTCCAATGAAGACTCAATTTATATATTTCCATATGGAATTATGAGAGCTATAAGTAGACCAAATCGTATGCATGTTACCTTGAGTGCTTGGAATTAAGGATGCGTTTTTGTCCGTATTTTCTCCATCCATGACCGTCGTCAGCCAAAGCAGGAGTGTCTCTAATCCAAGAGTGTGAAGTCTTTCTGCAAGAGCAATTGACAAAGTAATTCTTTTGTTTAGAACTCAATTAAATTAGTAAAATGAAATGAATGGATTATTGATAATGCTAGGTGATAATTAAGATGGGAGTAAGGGACATTTAAGTCACTCATTAGAGGGAAAGAGTAAAGCATATCCTAATTTTATTAGTATATTGCATGGAATGAACCTATCAAAGCAACTAGGGTGGTCCTAGCTAACTCTTACCTTGTTTTATCTCAATAGAAATTTTATGCATCTATACGAATCTAACAGCTGTTGTGAGTAAATTAACATTTATTATATAGCATGCATGTGAATTACGTTGTCGCGATATAAATTTCATGAATTTATGTGAATCTAACAATTGGTGTGACCAATTTTTTTAATTTTTTTTATTGAAGACTAAATTAACAACTGTACTGTCTTATTTTATCACAATAAAATTACTATATTTTATTTACGTGTGTGTGGATAATTGTTATGAGCAAAACTTTTTAGTAGTATATTTCACATGAACTCCTACCAGTAGTCAGATCCCACATACAGCATATGAAATTTTAAGATTAAACCATCAATCCACCCAATTAACTAAACGAGTTGATGATGATCACTCTTTAAATGTATATATTAATTGTCAATGAATTAATTTACCTTCTCTTGTAGGAGCCTCTACGATCCTTGAAGGTTGAAGTAGTCTTACAACTCTCCTCATAAAAATCTTCAGACTTAATAACAGCCGCCGTATGATTAGCATCCCAAGATGATGAATCTGCAGAGCCACCACCACTACTGATCCCTTGAATCTGATCACCAGAAACAATCTCCCCGTCAGACTCTTTTCCATTTAAGATCGAAAGGGTATTTGCAAATGATCCCAAAATCTTATCAACAAGATCCTCAGCCGAACCACCACCACCAAAACCACTAACAAGTGTTGACTTGTGATCATCAAAAACCCTACAAAGTTTGCCTGCAAGCTCACGCCCTTGCATCAACTCTTCCTTCACCCTTTCCCCATTTGATAACACACTCTCCGGCCAAGACCACTCCATGATTAGACCTTAATAATTTTGATTAACAACTAATTAATCCTTAATAATGTGTTTTAGCTATATGTGAGGAGGAGAGTTTTTGTGGTGGGCTGTAGGCTTTATATAGGCGTCAAAAAGAGCTGCTCCTCTCAAATTGCAATGCAAGGAAGAAGGAATGAAGGTCCATCCAAAGACAAAAAAGAACCCTACCCCCGAGATTCAGGACCCTGTTCCCACCAACGGCTAGATGAGCCTCCACGTCATACAACACGTGGCGCGATGCTTCTACACGCGCTCTTATATTAACGTTGCTGTCGTGCGACGTCATCGCTTCTGGTCATTCTGATGTCGTCATCCACTCCTTCCTACCTGGCCCTCTGAAAATTTAATGTTATTTTTTTCTAATTTGAATAACCAATAAAATGGCAAGTT